ATATACTGTGTCTTGGCATACGTTCTTAAAAAAAAAAAAAAAAGCTACAAAAATCATTTAACGTGGGCAAGTCAAGATCCTAACAAACCCCTCTGGCATCATTTTGAATGACAACTTAAGCTCAGGGCTGTCACTAATTGTGTGGTAGAGTTGGTGAAAGCATTCCTAGGTGTACAGTCTGTAATGTAACACTTAGCCTCAAATAGTACCTGCCCTCGCAAGGTCAGCCTGTCTTTCAGTGACACTGTTGAACCTGACTTGGGATGACTCTGGTTGTTCACATCAAACAGAATCCAGATATACTCCTGGAATTACTCCAAAAGGACCTGTCTGAGACCTACTTCATATGAATTATTATATTGAAAACTTACCATTGTGTCCACCTTCAGTAAGAAACTAGCTATACAGTCTGTACTGGTGTTGAAATGCAGTATTGTACTAAATAACTCTGCAAGTTATTTGGATACTGTTCAATAAATCTTTTTTTCCAGCTCAGGTCTCCTGTTTTCCTCATATCATATTTATAAGAGATGAGCCACTTGGAGTATAGACATTGTCCACTTGGCTTCCTGTCAGTCCTTTTAATTAAACAGTGTATAGTGCACAAAAAAGGGGATTTCCCCATCCCTGCCCCAAAGTGGTCCCATGTACTATAGGGTAAGACATAAGGAGCCTGCGTCCATTGTAAGGAGGGCTGCACACCCCTGATTTGGCTTGCTTTCCTCCCCACTTTTGTCCTCCACTTAATGAGTCAAAGGCCCCTGACAGACCTTACACTTAAGATGTTATTAACTGGTTAATCACCTCTCAAGTAGTGACCTGGCCACATGTAAGTGTATGGCTTACTTCTTACATTAACACACCATTCAGTTATTACACAATGACTGTGTCTATGCATAATCCTACAGCAACATAACGATGTGCTGTGTTGCTGTATGGTGCCGTACAGTGATATAGCGATCATATGGGTCTACACATGATCATTAGCTACATCACTGTAATGGTGCACTCCCTGCTTATAGTGCACCGCTGCAGTGATGTAGGGAAATTTTAAGTGTGGACCACCTGTATGGCACAGTATGGGCAGCTACAGTGCTGTGTTTTTGTACTTCCAGAAGGAAGTACTGAAGCATGGTGTAGTAACAATGTCGCTGTACGGCAACATGTAGATGCACCCAGTGTGTTAATAATTTTGTGGCCGATTCCTTCCACTCTACTCCTCTAACTGAACTTGTTGCCCATGCCAAGCTTGGAGTGGCAGATCAGAGAGGGGGTGGGAAACCCAGTAGCAGATAAGGCAGGGACTATAGGGTAGGGAGCAGAAAGCAGAGAAGCCTGGTGGGAGGGAAGGGGATGGGAGTGGCATGCAGGGTGTGAGACTAACTTTCTGGCAGGCATGCCACAAAATAAAGTCGGCTCCCGTTGGCACAGAATACTTGCACTGGCCATCGCTGGCAGGACTACAAAGATAATCTTCCACAAATCTGAGTAAGGAATGGAAGTGAAACCTGCTTTCTTCTACTATGTTTTTAGTCCTGAAAAAGCTGCTGCTTGTTCACCTACCCTCTGCCTCAAAAAGACCTAGATTTGCAATATCGAACAAGCAAAGAAAATAAAAACTGCATAAATACCAGGCATGTGTTGGGACTGACAACTGAGATGTGCAACTGAACATCCCTGCTTACTTCTTGTAAATGCTCGCTCTTGGCATTAATTTCCCAAGAGAAGACAGGTTCTCCATTCTACCTAAGGCATAGATAGCCCTACTGTCTGCACAGAAGAATTTTTAAATAAACCTGTACAAAGGTGTAAGGTCCACATTTTGCTTTTTGTTGTAAGCATCATCTTTGTTCCTCTTCTAGGGGAGGAAGCAGAAGTTTCATTTTGCCACAAGTTTCTCATGTCGCTACATAGGTTTGCAGCTAATTGAACAAGCAATTTTAAAATGATGCAACTTCATCGCATTAAAACAACAAAACAAATTTTTGAAGCCTGGAAAGAGCCAGTAGGATGGCACCAACCCTATATTAGTTTTTGACAACCAAGTATCACTAAAATACTAATAGATAAGACAAAATACTTGCGGTGCTACTTGTCAATGGAGATCAGCCCTGCCAATATAGCAAATACATGGGACGTTTGCCTTTTTTTTTAGGATTGCTACAGAAATAACTTCAGTTATTGTTGCTCCAGGGGAGGCTGCTATACTATGTAAATGGGTAGAAAGACTACAGTCTTCCTTCATATGACTGAAAGAGGCTTTTTTTTTTTTTTTCCTCCTCGCTTGCAGCTCTTCAGTCAGCTGTCTGACACGCAAGAACTGTAGAGAACCAGGATAATGGCTGCCAGCAAGAACAAGAACCAGAGTTCTCTGGCTCTCCACAAAGTAATCATGGTTGGCAGTGGAGGTGTGGGCAAGTCGGCACTCACGCTTCAGTTCATGTATGACGAGGTAAGGTACGGGGGGATGGCTGCACGCGTCTCCAGAGAGGTACTTTTCTGGACTCCTTATCAGCTTGCTCCTTTCTGTATTTCCTGTATTTGGTAGGAAGCATCAGAATTTCTCTAACGAGAAAACTTTAGTCACTCTTATGCAGGCTATTTTTAACAACCACTTGACTCGCAACATTGCAAAGGTGAGTACTCTTATGTTGTCAGGATATTACAACTGAGCTGTACTAACTTGATCAAGTAAGCACTCTTGACCAAGCTAGATGTTGATGAGGAAACAGTGCAGTACCAGAATATAATGGCTTATAATGTCCTAGTGTCGGCAAATAAGGGTTAAGCCTGCATTCAATGAAGGCTGAAGGATATTTTGTCGATGGGTCTCTAGGACCTTAGTGGCTACTGCCAACATACTAGGGAGTCATTCTTCACAAGGGAAGCTCAAAACTTCAGAGGATTTTGGGGAGTATGGAATTGCAGCTTACCCTGCCCCCTGCTTCCTCTCCCCCCAGCTGTTAAGTACACTAACACCTGGCTCTGGGCTCTGACTGACAGTCTTACTGTGGCAAGTCATTGCATCATAAAATCTGCATGCAGGACATACCCCAGCCAGAGCTTCATTGCCTACACCTTTAGCCACCTCCAAGTCATAGAGATCGTCCTGCCCTAATGATAAAAAAAACAAAAAACAAAAACCCCTACTTTGTATTGAGTTCAGGGAACAAATTTCTAAATAGTTCTTTTTCTAGGGAAGCAATTGTCAGCCCTCAGACATGGAGTCCACCTGACAACCTTAGCAAAGATTCATCTAGACCAAGTGTGGCTGTCTAAGCCTGGATACGTGAATCTCCCAAGCCATAACTTTGTAGCACCTGCATCTTCTAAAGTTCATTTAGAAACCATATTCACCTAATGCAGATTTACAGAGCAGCTGTGATCTCGTGATGTATGCTATCACTTAATAGCTGAGCTGCTGTTTTCTACTCCTGCATCAGGCTCTGAACAGAGTTGTGGTGCGTTCCTACGTAAGAGTTACCGTAGTAACTATTTCTTAAGGCCTTAAGAGTCAGGGGAATTATACCCAAGTCAGTTCATTTGGCCTAAGTTGACATAGCTTTGATAAAATGCACAACCCATGTTCTGCTGAACTTGAAATAAACTCAGAGTAACAAATGCCATGTAGCATGAGCTGCTTCTGATGTGTGGACTGTGACCTGGATCAGAGGTATGACCTTCAATCTGCTAATTCCCCTTAAAATACTAGAACCAAAAAATGGCCTTAAATAGATGACAGTGATCCAAAAAAAAAACAAAAGCCCTGCAAAGGCTATTTTAATTATTATGAAAATGGAGAGGAATAGGCTGAGGTGAGTGCCCCATCTGACAAAATTGGAGGTGCTGTGAACTAACTCCCTTTTTATGCCCCTCAGTTTGTGGAAGACTATGAACCCACAAAGGCTGACAGTTACAGGAAGAAAGTAGTTCTGGATGGTGAAGAGGTCCAAATAGACATACTGGACACAGCAGGACAGGAGGACTATGCAGCCATTCGAGACAACTACTTCCGCAGCGGGGAGGGGTTTTTGCTAGTGTTCTCCATAACGGAGCATGAATCTTTTACAGCAACAGCAGAGTTCCGGTAAGCACCTGCTATCTAGTGGGATGGAGAAAAATGGAGTGCTTCAGTCCCTTTCATATTCATGTCCTTTTCATAGGAGAAGCAGGTTTGATTGGCAAGATGAATAGCTGCTTCTGATGGATTACTAATAAGCAAAAGTGCTGTGGGTACTAAATTTTATTAACTCTTGCAGGAATTGTTAAATGATTCTCAGCTGACTTAAGCAGAGTTCATGCATCTAAATTGTGCTTGCATTGGGACAGTACAAATCTAATCTTAAGTATTCTCTAATTTAGTTTTGTGGCTTGAAAACATATGTCTTTTCATCTACACCAGCCTAGATTTTAGCTAGATTTGCACAGCTAGCATATACCATAACAGATTTGTTTAGTCCTATCTGTCTCCACTACTTCAGCTGCAGGATGTCTGCTGGCTACCTGATAGAACAGAAAACTGGACTACTAGCCGTTCTGTCACGTGTCTATACACAGATGCTGTAGCTGTGTACAGAAGCTCCACTGGAGTTCAGGGCTGGGTCTAGTGCCAGGCTGTTTCTCAAACTATGATACCTGAGACTCACTGGAAGAAGAGCCCCTTTTTCAGGAAGGTCAACCATGATATAATTTGCTTATCTGCGTGAAAAGTTTGAACATGGCTTTTAATCTCTTGCCTACCCTAGATAGAAGTGAATAGGGAGTTCTTCCTATTTCTATACTAGTTTCATTCTCCTAGCAGTTGACTACCACTGTCTACAGTGTAGAAGTAGGTTACATCCTGTTTGGTCCTACTTAACGTAGCTATCTACTTGCTTGTCCTCAGTTCTCCTCTCATTGCTTGTATAATGAATGGACTTCTAAATAGTGCTCTTGACTGGTAGAGCACATACATATAACACATTTGTAGTTTGGCTGTAACATAGCCTGCCTCTTGGTGTGGCTTCTGAACTTATTTGCTGAGATCTGGTTGAAGCAGCAGGGGAATGAAGCAAAAGACCACTAGATCTAAACTAAGGTTGCCTGCCCCTGTGATAGGCTATAGTGTTTCTGGAGATTGTGCTGTTCATCTAGGATGATGGAACTGTTGAACTGCTACATGTGGCACGAGTGATGTACAGAGGAACATAATGCCTCTGGACAAGGCAAAAGGGCTAAATACAGGCCATCTTTAATCATTTGTGCAGACCCTCACTACATAATTCCCTAAGTGGTGGTACTGAGTCAGATTCCCTAGACTTGGCTTATGCACACACCTGCGGCTCTCTGCACTCAGTAGGAAGTGCAATTGAAGGCTTGCTTTGGCCAACGGCATGTGATGAAAAACCCAACAACCTGTAATAGTAGTTCCCAAAGGGAACTTTTTTAAAATGCCCATATAGCCTTCAAGGCTGGAGGAGCTGGTGCCCACTTTGTTCCAGAGCGAATTGAGGTGGTAGACTTAGAGTGAGAATGAAGGCAGAGAGCATTATCAGGGCAAAACTAAGATTGTTAGTGGCGCAGGCAAAAGAAAAACCTGTCTGTCCTGGTGATGCTTAACACAGCAGACCTGACTCATCAGAATGAATTTGAGTTTAAGAGCCAGCCTTCAAGACTTCACCTGGTTCCATAGATAGCTAGACTCTGTACCATGGATTTCCACACTAGGGAAGGGAGCCTCAAACAGTCAGACCAAAGAGGAGTCCCGAGTTATTGAACAGGTCCATGGAGATGGGCAGCAGTTGGTTTTTATATCACAAGACCCCAAGGCTGTGTGGCAACTGTACACCTGAGCCTTGAGTCTGAACAGCTGTGCAACATTCTTGACAACCAACTTCCTGGGGGTACTTGGATCTGGAGAACACTTTCTACCTGATGTGGTAAGGCAAAAGTAAACTGATCCCTCAGAAGGTCAAAGCTGTGCCTGAGCCTAAGTGGCCTGTTGCCTTAATCCATATATGAGTGTGACCTAGCATCACATGTCTACTTCTGACCTCAAATAATCATGTACTCATTTACACCTGGGTTGATTAGGGGTACCTTTGTCATGTGGTGCTCTTCCTCTGGTCTCCAAATCCTGGAATTTGCTGAATCTGCCTTGGCTACCTGAAGGGTATGAACAAACATGCAATTTTCTGTTATACAAACGTGCTGATAGCAGTAACTTTTTTTTAGCATAACCACTGCAGCTTTTAACCCATCATAGATCAGGATCATTTGATAGCTATGCCAGACTAGATCCCCAAGACCCAGGAATTGGAGGAAAAAGTAAAATTGATACTCCAAGGAGGAGGGATTAAGCTGTTTCCAGATTCCTGAAAGTCAAGGACATCTGGAACACAATTAGACTACAGCCTTCCTCTTGCCCAGGGGACTTGAAATGATTAGTGTGCTGGCAGCCCCTTCAGCAGTGCCTGTACAAACCATTTTCTATCAAACAGTAGAGTGCTCTCTGGGCATGAGGACTGATCCATGTACAGAGGTTTACATGATCTTCTGGAAGCAAGAATTTTGCTTGATCGTGACCCAGGAGTTGTAGCAGGGCAGACTGGAAAGCTATTCTGTCCAAATTTAGCCAAATCATCCCACAAAAAAGCATAGGTATAATTGCTTAACTGCTCAAAGGGCTTCAGAATTTGACTTTCAGAAGTCTGACGGTAGCATATATATATTTTGGTTTCCTGCTTCTCTTCCATGACACTTTGTTCGTTCTCTAGAGCTACGCTCTTGGGTTGGAGATGCTCCATACATAGTACCTCCTTACTTCAGGCTTCAGTCATTGCCTACAAGAGAGAATCTAGATTTTACTTGGATCTTGCAAATCTGATGACTTAATTACAGTTCATAATGGTATGACCTATAGAAAAAGGAAATCCATCTGCAAGGCTCTTCCATTGTCCACAAATCTTCCTTTCTTCTTCTGCCTTCCCCCCCGCCTTCTGAAATGGGGATTCAGTGTGTATACTGCTACAGTAAATACAACATTAAGATTTGTTCCAACTGTCAAGTAATCTAAAACTATTTCAGAAATCTCAAGGGAGCAGACAGTCTACTCTGAACAAAAATGCAGGCATCATCCTTTAGAAATTTTCCCATCCTACTGATTTTGTATTTTTGTGCCTCCTTCCTCCAATGCAAACTACTACTAAACTAGCTCACTAGCCTTGGATCCAGTAAGCAGTGAGAAGATGGGGCTTGCTGACGTGTAAAATAATTTTACAGCTTTATCTTGTGAGAATTGCATTTTATTTCTTTTTAACCTCTCCTTCCGCCTCAGGCTTTCTTTGGAACGGAAGTAGGAGGCAGGGAAGGGAGGGGAGAAACGGGTGTTTTAAATATGGAATTTTAATTGGCTTGCAAAAACCTACTGAAAATGACCTTTAAAACATTTTTTCGACTCTTTTTAGAGGGGAGGTATCAAAGGCACCCTCCCATAGGGCAGTGCATGCACCTTCCTGTCAGCCAGAGAGGGCTGCTGCATTGTGGAGCCCAGAAGTGGACTTAAAGGAGAGTTTGAAAAGAGATTTTTTTTAATAGAACATTAAAAGTCAGTAGATCTCCCTTATTTGATTCTGAACTTATCAGATCCTGGTAAATAAGAGTGATTTAATTTTTGGTAATGAGGAATTTGGATAATTTTCCTTTTGTTTCTAGTGAAGACCCACCATGTTCTCAATGAGGTGCATTACCTGCACTCCCTTATTAGATAAAATGTTGTTTTTAAATTGCTGGTGCCCAGTTGTCTGGCCCTTTTGGACTGGATGAATAGTGCAGGGTTGGTCTGAGTCTGACTTGACCTCACACTTGTCTAATATGGTGCACATGGCCATGTTATCAAGGGCAATTAATGCTGCCACTGCTCCCCCATCACGCAGTTTCCAGACCTCTGGGGCTTGAGCACTCCTGGTTGAAATGGCATGTCAACAACCACTTTCTTCCCTTTTTAAACTGGTTCCTGCAAGCCAAATAGAAAAACACTGACACACACAACAAAATCCCAGTAACTTGTCTGTGACTGGATGTTGTATCAAGCTTTGTTTCAAGCCAAACTTCCCCCGTGTATTTAATTTGTGGCTGTGGACACAGATGCGTTCTGAAATCCTTTCAAAAAGGGATCTTCCCACTTGGTGGTTCTCAGTCTCCGCAAACTGGGAGACTAGGCACCCCTCTGTTACTCTTGGGAATTGAGCAGTGCCCTATTAAAAAAAACCAAAAAAAAACCCAACTAAATTTATTACAGGGCTTTGCAACCTCCTGGAGGTGGAGGAGCAGCCAGGCAGGGAGAGCCTGAGCCTGCCCATATCTGCTTGATCTCTTCACTGGAGGCTTGAGCCTGTCTCTTATTTGCTCATCTTCTCATGCTTCCTGTGGCACTTCAAAGGGCCTGGCAGCACCGTAGGGTTTTCCCCCAGGCACCCGGGCTGAGAATTGCAGTTCTAGTTGTTACATGTGAACCAGGTAAGAACAGTCTGAAGTGTAGCAAAACCCACTTTCACACTGCTTCATGCACCACAGCATTAGGTATTTTGTCCTCATGGGGTGTTAAAGTGGGTTTTGCTACACTTCAGATCATTCTCACCTGGTTCACATGTGACAACTACTAACCTACCTGCTGTTTGAAGGGCTTCCAAATATACATGTGTCTACACTCTTGTTTACTGTTTCATCTCTCATGGCATCTGTCTACATGACTCTAAGATAACAAAACTGGAGTCTTTTGACTTCAACTGATTGTAGCATGGCTTATTTCTTGCATAATGTGTGCTTGAGGTGAGGTGGCCATCAGTGTACAGGGCAGCAGATGCAATCTGCTGGCAGGAAAGGAAAAGTGCAAGCAGCTACTTGTTTCAGCTTCTCTGCCTAATCTTGGTAGACTAGGCTTCCTGGAAAACATGTGGCTGCTTCTTAAGGCCTCTCTTGCCACGTGATGAAGCAATATGGAAAGCAGGCTAAAAGAGAAAACTACACTTGAAGACTGCTGAAACATAAAACAGGCTGCATGTTGTTGCTGACGCATGCTGCTGTCAATATGTCTTAATTGGTTTGGCAGGGACTTATGGTGGTTTTTTGTTTTTCTTTTCTTTAACTGACTTCCTGGATATTTGCACAATATCTTTGAGAATTAAACTGCTTGGCCTTAATCATTGCTTTCTTATTGGTAGCAAAGGTGGTTGTATGCATGTGTTGTTTATTTGGTTTTTTCCCCCTTGAATTGACTTCAGTGGATGTCTTCAAAGACAGTCTTCCAAACCTGTTTCATAATGTCTTTTAACAAGGAAAAGAGTTGATATTTGCCTGGTTAAGTCAAAAGGCAAAGAGCAGTTTTTTTGCTCTGCCCCTCTGGTGGCATGACCTAGTGTAGTTCGCTTAATGTGGTCTCCATCCACCACCTCCAGTTTCTGCTTCTGTAGAGTGGGGTAATGCTATGCAGCTTAAAGCTTTATAGGACCCCTCTTGGAAAGCCTGCTGATCTTCATATTGAAAGCAAAAAATAGTATCAAACTGCTTCCATCTGTAGTATAGATAAAGACAAATTGATATGTACCAGGTGAGTTGCCTATTTATAGCTGTTCTTTCTTGAACTCATCAAGGAAATAATTATGGTACAAGTATCTTAAACAGAGGGAACTGCTTAGCTTGTAGATGCTTTCCTTTAGTCAGAGCTGGAGGAAGTGGCAATGGCTCTCCATTGGAGCAAAACGTAGCTTTCCTGTAAGTTATAACTTATTTCTGTGATTGGGCTGTCTTGGTACAGAGCCTGCAGTGTGACCACTTTAATGGGTGCCAAATTTAATGCACACATCAGACCGCCGTATAGCCTTTGGCACTGTGAAGGCCATTCAGTTTTTCCTGATGCACGTTTTATTTTTGTCAAGTACAGGAAGCTGTGATACAGCTAACTCGGCTATTTTATTTTTAATGCTTGATGCATTAGGGAACAGATCCTGCGTGTGAAGGCTGAAGAGGACAAAATACCTTTGCTCGTGGTGGGAAACAAATCTGACTTGGAAGAGCGCAGACAGGTGCCTGTAGAGGAGGCCAGAACTAAAGCAGAGGAGTGGGGAGTGCAGTATGTAGAGACTTCTGCCAAAACTAGAGCAAATGTAGATAAGGTAAGAAAAGTTGCTGTTCTTTCTATAGTCTAACTATAGACACATGGGTGACTAACTGCCTGCCTCTTGGGCTCAAAGGCACAATTCATGGCTGTGTTTACAATATTCTACCTGCTGAATAACTTTGTTGTCAGGAATATCCTGCAAGTGAAGCAGTTCACTGGTGTTTGGCTGTGTAACGTGCCACCTTGTACCTTTCATCTCTTTTTCTAGTGTACAAAAGTCCTTGTACAATTGCAAGCCTCTCGGATGGTAATTTTTGAGATGCAGGAAACTTATTGCTGCCCATGCTAGAACCCATGCATTGGCCATCCTGTCAGCTGCAGAGAGGTCTTGTGAGATTTTTGGAGCTTTAGTAGAAATGCCTATCTCTGTGCGCTCATTTGCGTTTGCTCTTCCCCCACTGCCTCCTCCCCTCTTCTTTTTCTCTTTAAGGTTTGGTAGTTTCTAGCCTGACTTCACTTTTGGGTTCTTGGATGGTTGCTCTTTTTTTTTTTTTTTTTTTTTTTTTTTTTAATTTTTGGGGA